TAAGAATCTCCACATTAAGTTTCACAAATAAATTGATTATTTAAATGCCATCCATAAATACAATTTAAACATATACCTCTAAAACAATATGAACATTCTCTTTAACAATCATTTTAACATTTATTACATCCATCAAATCTTATTAAATTATTATCATCACATTCTTCTAAGATTTAAATTTCATTATCACCACAAATAGATTAACATTATTATTTAATTAATTTCCATCCTGGAATACAATCATAACATATTCCAAATTCACAAATCAAACAATTTGATGGACAAATAAATTTGCCATTTTTACAAATTTCAAAATTTAAATAATCGTCACATTCTTCCCAAATTTAAAATTTCTAATCATTTACAATAGCAATACAAGTATTAAAATCTGATTAAAATATCCATCCAATATCACATTCAAAACAAATACCATCAATACAATTTAAACATCCTTCTACACAAGAATATTAACAAATAAAACATCCATCAAAAGCATAAATATTACCATCGTCACATTATTCATATTATTCTTAAATTCCATTTCCACAAATTTGGCCACAGGCTTAATTAAAAGAAGTGCCAAAAATACAAGCTAATTATATGAAATAAAAAATACGGATAAAAATTTAAATGTCTCTAATTCCAAAAGATTCATTATTTGGATCTGAATCTAAAGTAGTAATAAATTTTAATGTAATAGATGATTTAGAATGTGGTATTGTAATTTCTTCATTCTATAGTATTTCATCATAAGTCCATCCACAAATATTTTGTACTTTTCTATCATTACTTTCATAGATTTGAGTCCAAACTACAATACTATCAACATAAAATTAAGCTTTTTCACTATTCCATGAATCAATGAATATAAATCTAAATTTAATTTTCACTTAATTATGTGCTGCTAAGTTAATTTTTTTGATCATATAACTATATTTGGCAGTGTAATCATAACCTCCAAGCATAGGAATTGCTTTAATTAAAATCAATTAATTTACATAAACAATTGCTAGTTTTTTTATATCCTTATTCTATTTTCCAACCATCAGCGTTAAAATTATTAAAATCAACATTAGTTAAACTATCTTCAATAAGATTCCAAAATATGCATTATTCTCTTGAATCTGTAGAAATACATGTTTAGCATCCAGAAGGACAAGGATATATATAAAATTTAAAATTCCTGATTCCCCAGGATTCCTTTAATCTAAAAATATCATCCAAATACATTTGCATGATAGTCATCCAAGTTTGATGTCAATAAAATAAAAACAGATTAAAAGTTATGTTGTTGTATAATAGTTATCTGTTGAACAATCTCCCCTTATGATATGCCACAGGTTTGTGTACCTCCACTTCCATATTTCTAATAAAAACCTTAAACTTAATCTAAATAAATGAAAAAATCTTCATTATCCCATGAATCTATTCTAAAATAATTTAAAGACTCATACTTCCAGAATTCAAGTGTTATCTTTATTGTATGATGTGGTGGTAACTAAACTAATTTTGTAGCTGAAGTGCCTTTTCCAAACGCTTCATATCCTCCCAAGAGTCTTTTTGTACCACAGTTACTATATATTTTACTCTAACCCCTTAACACCCATTCTTAAAATTATCTAATTAAATACCTTCAGAAGTTTAAAATGAATTGCTTGTAAAACTTTCAAAGTACAAAATCTGGGAAAAAATCCTTATACTAAGGATAAATAATGGAAAATATAACATGGTGCAATATAAAATTTATCTAATAAATATAATATTTAAAGAAAAATTTATAGTTCCTTATCTGAAAGAAATATCTAATGAAAATCCCTTTTAGCATTATTATAATCTTTCAAAAATGTTTCTGGATTTCAAAATTTTTTGAATCTTGCATTTATTTTTTCCTCAAAACATTAAGAACCTTTACTAATAAAGTTTTAAAATTATTCTTGGCGTTGCATATAATATCTTATTTTATTTTTTATTGTTAATTTTGTTAGATAATTTGAAAAATTCTTGATTATGGAGAAATTTTCTCCTTTTAGATAATTTATTTATCTTTTAGAATTTCTTAATTATAAAAAATTACATTTAATTCTCTAAAAATTTAACCTATTATAATATAAATCCCGTTTTATGTTCTTATAATATTTTTATTGATTTAGCTAATTAATTGTCGCAAGAATCTTATTATTAGAAATATAATATATTTTAATACGATTTAATAATAAATTTTGAAATATATTATAATGAAAATATTAATAAAATAAATAATACGTCAGATGACTATTTTTAAAATATTCATTTTAATTTATATTCAAATAGATTCCTTATCATCTAAGATGAAGGAAGAGAATAGTCTATCTTATTCCTAATCTGAATGCTCAATCTAAAATAAACAATTGGTTTAATTTTTTTCTTCAAGACAAGTTTCTGTATTTATTTTTTAATCAATATTTTATTGATTAATACTTAAAAACCTATAGTAAGGATTTTTTTTCTATAATTCTAATTTTAATGAAGTGATTGCATTGATATATTTTTTTTTTGTTAATTGATCCTTAATTTTAGAGTTAAGTATAACACTAATTTCAGCATGTGAGTCTAAAAATTCTTTCCATTTTTATTAAGTTTCAATTTATATACATCTAGTTCTTGAATTGATTGGACCAAATATCTTTTATAAATCCCCTAATTCCCATTTTTATTATTTTGATGTTTTGCGATTATGAATAACTTTTAAATAGCATTCTACCTATTTATAATCCATTTATTTTGACCAATGCATAAATTGATTCAAGAAAAAGGGAACTATTCTTCTTTAAAATTTTTATTCAGCAAGTTAAGTTGATTACGATTCATGAATCATTTATTATTGCAAGTAAAAATCATTTCTTATAATTTCAAATAGTTTTTCATCTAAATCAACGATAACTCTTCCATTTTTATTTTTAAGTATCTTTGTTTAAGTTTATAATTACCTAATAACATTGCAACATTAAAAATATTATTAAAAATTAAAATTAAACAATAGAATTTAAATATGATAAAAAACAAAAATCCATATATTTTATGGAAATTTAATTTAATATAAGTATTTTTAAATAAAATAAATATTATGCAGTATCATTTCATAAAAATTTAGTCATCAATCATTTCATATTCAAAATTAATTTTTTGAGGTATAACTTATTATCCCATATATTCATCCTAATCAAAGATTCCAATTTAATGATCAGTAACTAGTTCATCATATCTTTGCATTAATTCTTTCATTGATTATTTTTCTTTCTAATGCATTTACATAACAATTTCTTCAATTTGATATTTTCCAAGTGTCAAGATCTTAAAAAATACTTTTTTTCCAATTCTTCTAACATCAAATGATTAATCTATGATCATTTAAGATATTAATTAAATAATGTTATTGAAATGAACGGATTTAAAAATTTCACTTTGATACTTGATAATTAAATGTTCTATGAGTACTCCAACATAAATTTTACTATTAAAAGAATGTTTATTATATAAATTAGGTAAAATATTCTACAATTAAGAATCATCACAAAATCTTAGAATATCAAGCATTGTTTATTCAGCTTATTAACTAACTTATTTATTATCATCTTAAAGCCAAACTCCACAAACAGAAAATAATTTTTAGACTTAAATTAAAGTACTTCTTAATGTTTAGACAGCAACACTTAAAGTTTAAAGGGCAATGAAAACAATTTTTCTAACAATAATTTAAGGTGGAATATTCTTTTTATATTATGAATAATCAATAGCATAAAGAGGATTATCAGTTTAAGTTGATAATATTCTACATACATCATTAACAATTTATAATAATGGAACTTATGAGGCATAAACATCAGATAAATGATTTAATAATAATAGTTTTAATTTATTTAATGACATTGCCAATAAATCTAAATTTAATGATGATAAATTAATTAATAAAGCTGCAGTTTCTGCTCTTGCATTATCAATATAAACAGGCATATCAAACACTTTTGGTAATTCTTCTTATTTTGCAATTTCTTTAAGTTTTTTTTTTAATTTTCTCGCATTTCTACCTTTATTTTTACCATCTCTTTCTTCAAAAGATAATAAAAATTCATCTAACCTTTTTTAATAACGTTACTCTGGTGTATATATTAGTTATTAATTTTTAATTATGTCTTATACTTATTCTATTTAAATATTAGTGATGTTTTCTGTTGTTTTTTATTCATTATTTATTATAACTTCTTCCTAATTAAATTATAATTATTTATGTTATTATTTTATTTATTTTGTATCAATAAATATTTCTTCATCATCTTCATCTTCTTCTACTTCAAATTTATATCCAGAATAAGCTCCTACATTAGCTTTAATTACTTTAGGTATTTGTAAATCTACATTAATGTCTTCATTTAATTATTTAATAGTATGTTAAACTCTAGATTTAATATCATCGATTGGTTAATATTTAGATTTTGTAATTTATTCTGGAGCATGACCTCTATATTTTAAAGTACGTGTTGGATATTCAAATTCAATAGATTATAATTCCTCTTCTTCTGAATGCATAATTTCATCTTCATATTAATTATCATCTACTCTTTCTTTTTCTAAATATATATTAGAGTTTATCAATTTAAATTATTCATTAGCTTTTGTTTATTAAAATTATCCTATTGGAATAACCATATCATATTTTGTTCCTTAATTATTTTTATGTTCTGATGCAAATAAACTATCTATAGAAGCATTAGATTTTATTATTTTGTCATTTAAAGACATTGGAAATTTATCATAATAATATGTTACTTTATAATGACTTTCTTCTGATTTTTCTGATTCTATTGGAGTCTAAGGTTTTGGTTCAATTTACACTGATTCAACAATTGATAATTTCATTTATGATTATATTTTTTATTCCTCTAATTTTTTTATATTAATTTAAGGTAATTCTAAATTTCCATTATCATTTATAAAATATACAATTCCATTATCAACTTTATCATTTAATTTTTCATAAACTTAATTATTCAATACTTCATGCAAATATTCCAAATGTTTCTTATCTAAATAAGCCAATAAACTTAAACATTCTAATGCAGCATATTTAACTTTAGCTATAGAATCATTTAAATATGAAGCAATTACTATTAAACTCTTTTTAAAATCAACTTCTCTTAAATTAAATGATTATTCTTCAACCATTTTTTTTTCTTATTTTATTTACATCTCTTTTAAATCTATTCCATAAAACCATTATTCATTTGGATGAATCATCAATACTAAATATGAAATCAAATTTATTAATTCTTCCTTCTAATGCCAATTATCCATTTATTACTCTATAAAATAAATTAAGTTCTAAAAATATTATTTTTTACTAATATAATTAGTCAATTTCTTTAATAAAAAAAGGGACTTTTATCTGATTATTACTCTTTCATCCTTTAAACATTAAATTAATCCTGGTAAACATAATGGCAAATAAACATTAACTTGAACACCTGGTACTTACATTACTTTACCTATTATATTTAAGATCATTAATATTATTTTCTTATCTTAACTAAAAAATAATGAAGATATGTATTTAAAGAATGATGGCATAAAGCTTCCCTTAACAATTTTATCAATTATTTTTGAATCATAATTTTATTGTTCACTTTCATTTTCAAAAAACTACATATTTAATTCTGTAATTCCTCTTTCTCTTATTGTTAGATCTTTTTAGTTTAATGTGTCTTATAATATTTCCTTTGGTAAAAAACCAAAATATAATTATGTTTTTAAATCTTAAGGAAAATCATCGATTGTGAGATTTTTTTTAGCAATAAATTCAAAAGGTATAAATTAATCAATTAAAGGGTCTGTTTGTTCTTGAATTTTAAAATTCAATTCAATAAACTTATCAATTTTTGGTGGCATTTCTTATTGTATTTTATCTACAATATTTTAATGTTAGATTGCTAATCTTCTATAAACTAATTCAAAATTTTCAATATTTTTAAGATTCTGTATTACTTTTTTACTTGCTTTTCTGACGGATTCATTAACATCGTTTAAATGAATTATAATACATTCAATAACTTTTCTCACTTCATTAATTCTAAATAAATTTACAAGTCTACCCAGTTCTATTGCAGAATATTGATTTATCTGCTATAAATATGTCAGGAATTAAATTTATAGATCTTTCTCTAATGTAAAAGTTTTTGTTTTTAAAAGAATCACTTAAGAGTTCTAAGACTTATTCTGAATTTCTAGTTTTAGTAATAAATTTAAGAAATATGGATTTAGTTGATTTTCTTATATGTCTATCACTATCAGCTAGATTATGTATAAGTTAATTTTGAAAGAGTTTTAATCCTCCTTCTAATTCTGCAGGTAATAAATAATCAATTAACTTGATATAAGTTTAATAGAAATACAGATAACAGTAATCCATGTGTAGCTAAGATCACTTATTTATTTGTGTCCATAAGCATTTAATTTATCATAACAAAAACTCTGCTTAAGTCACCTAAAACAAGGACCTTCTTTGTTTTAATGTCATCTTGCATTAAATTAATTAATTCAATTCTGGTATCTCCAGTGGATTCATAGATTGAATTAATTAAGACTTACATATAAAGTATTTTATATATATTTTTATAACATTGAATATATATAATAACTGTTTTTGCTTTATTTTAAAATAATACAAAAATAATCATGTAAGTTGATGATAATTAATATGGAGATCAAAGTCTTCTAATATTTAATCTGTTTCTTAAATTTTATTTAGAAATGTGTTTATAAAGGATATTTGGTCTTTGAGATATATTTTTAAACTTCAATCGATAAATATATATATTTATATATATTAATTTTTGTAGTAATGATATCTGAGAATGATAGTACGAAAGTATTGTTGGTGATTGTATAGAATCCTTAATCAATAATACTTCCACATTCATTGTTCTATAGATACTTTTCAAATTTTGGGGAGGTGAACAAAATTTTAATATTTGAGAAAGGAAAACTATGGAAATGTTTTATTGAAATGGCAACTTTACAGTAAGCGAGATTTTCATAGTAATAATTAAATGGATGTTAATTATATGATTAAACAATAATGAATGTGTAAATGTTTAATATATGATTCTTAGTTATTATTCGACATTACAAAATGTGACATTTCTTAACAATAATTCTGGAGGTGTAGATTATAGAGCAATAAAGTAAAGAAATACAACTAAAACAATGAATAATTATGAATAAGAATATTACCATAAAATATATAGTCAACCAATTATATAAAATGGCCAGCAATAATAAAATTTTAGATTGAGTGTGGCTAGTTTTGGTAATGAAAGAACAAGAGCTAGTTTTAATGATAAATAGGATATATAGGAATATAAAAATGAATGGGAACACTCTAAAATATAAACATCTTTAGAATTTATAGATGATGGAGATTCTCCTAGATATAAATAATTTTCCTCCTTTAAATCTATAGAATTTGATGATAATGAACATGATCCTATTGATGAAGATATTATGCATGCCTTTTCATCTGAAAAAAATACATATCTAAATTCATTTATGTTTTCTATACCTGAAGTAGAAGATAAATCAAAAAATTAAGATATAGATCCATATACATATGTATCTCCTTAATTTCTAAGAGAAAATCAACCATCTAAAGTTGTTTATATGAGAGGTCTCATTAATTAAAATATTACACCATTAAACATTTTTAATTTATTGTCTAATTTTGGAAATGTAATAGTCATAATCTATATTAAACATAAAACATCAGCATTAGTCTAATTTGAAAAACTTTCACATGCTTAAAATGCACTAGATCATTTAAACAATTAAGTATTTTTTGGTCAAAAACTTAAAATCTTTTATTCAAATTATTAAGAAATATAGTTTCCTTTACCATTTTAATCACCATAGACTTTAGTATTTATGCCATAACAATCTTAATTTAGATTTAGTGAATTAAAATCAATCTCTTTTAATCCTCCTAGTTAGACTTTGCATCTAAGTAATATTAAAGGTAAGATGTGTGAGGAAGAATCTTATATAAAATAATTATTCAAAGGGATTGGAAATATTTAAGCTATTAAATTTATTCATATAGATAAGTAATAATAAACTTAAATATTAGATAAAAACATATGGCATTAGTAAGATTATCATCATTAGAAGAAGCATTGAATGGAGCAGCTTTACTTCATGGAAAAGAAGTAATGGGCAGAAAAATTAATGTTTCATTTACCAAAAGTAAATTATGCTGAAATCTAAAAAGTCAGCTTTTGCTCAAGTATTATGACTTTCTAAAAATCAAATATATTATAATTATTTTCTTCTTTTCTTTCTTTTATTCATTTATCATTATATTTAATAGCTCATGCTTTTAAACCTAAATTTAATCCATCATCACCTTTCTTCTCTACTTCTGGTTCAAATTAACACAGTTACAAGCTTCTTTAAAATTAATTTATTCTTTTAATTATTCTAGTATGCAAATATGTTTTTGATGCATGAATATGATAATGTAAATATTATCTATATTATTTATTTTTTATTACCTTAAACCTTATAAAAATGTTGATAATTATTCAATGTTTTTACTAAAATGTTAATTTTAGAATAAAGTCATTGTAATCAATTAAGAATTTGGATCTTATTTCACATTTAATACTTCTGGAAATGATTATTTTAAAATTGTTGATTAATAATTTGATCTAGCAATTGGAGGAGAATTCTTAACATTCTTTTTTGCATCTATAATTTCAGTAACTATTAAATTTGCTAAAGTTCTATCAACATTATCAGAAAAAGATATTTCATAGAATATATTTACAGCATCTCTTTCAGGTATTACATAAACAGTTTCATTTTCTCGACTTTAATACTTAAATTTTTTAGGTTGAGTTCCTGAATTTATTTATTCAAATGTTTATTCAAATGCAGCTGCATAAAAGTTTCTTCTAATTGAAGAAAAATCATTTGTGACTTTTTCAAATAATTTTTAATTTTCAGCTCTAATAAGAGCTCTTTGCTCTTAAATTTCTGCCTTCTATGCTTCATCAGCATCTTTAGGAATCTTTGGTTCTGATTTTGCAATTTTTGCATCAAATGAAAAAGTTAAATTAAAACCATCTTCTACAGGTTCCAAATTATAATCTAAATAAATTATTTTGTATCACCTTTATAATATTTTTGAATCATATAATTTCCAGCTATTTCAAATATATCTTTAAAGTTAAAACAAGTAAAAGAAACATATAATCTACTATTATCTGCTTAATATTGTAATTTGGTGCATGAGTAATTATAATCCTTAGATATCACTATTCTTGAAAGCTTATTGCTATAAAAATATTTAGATAGAAGTTTACGTAATCAAATCCATGATTTAAATTTTAAGCAACTTGTTTTATGGATCAATGAGCATCATTTTTTATGTAAATTTATATATACAATTTATATAATCAACTCAATAACTTAAGAAGTACTAAATCTCTTTTTATACAATATATATTATTACTTTATTTCTTTAGGTTTTAACTAATTAATTGTTGCATTTCTTTTGATATAGGCTTCATTTAAATTAGTGAAATATAATTATTTTTTATCTACTACATTGATTTTTATCTCTATAACAAATAAATCCTATATCATTATTAATTCATCTTTGTAAATAGGTACAAACATTAATTCAACTTACTCTGGTAACACTATAGGATCAAAATGTCGAAGATTATTGTCTAATTCAATCTAAAAGTCATCTTTTTATTTTCTAGTCATTTTTATTCCCTAAGCTATCCCTTTATCAGTTATTCCAATATATAAGATTCCACCTTAAGAATTTAAAAAAGCACAAATGTAATTCATTATTAAATCCATTCGAATTTCCTTAAATTGTTTAAATTCATGCTTCTAATCTTCAAATTAATTGATCTCTATACGTTGAATGTATTTTTTAGAATTAAATAATAACTAAATATTTTAATATATATCATACATCATTCTCTTTTGATTTGCTCTCTAAGATCTAATTTAATTTTGTGAATATTTTATATTAAAATGCTTATTTTATTTGAATTTCGTCATGCTTAAATGGACAATTTCTAGCATTGCAATTCTAAGATCTGATGTTATTTTATTTATTTTTATTTATACTTTTAAAATTTGCATGGTAAAGTACCATATATACGAGGATGATACAAATATTCAATTATATTGTTGCAAAAATCATTAGCTTCATTGTTTGAGTCACAAATGTATATTGGTTTATAATTATTACTGTTTCTTCTTTTATCACTATTATTATGATAATATTAGCATTATATTATTTATTATAATGGTAAAACATGATCCTATCTGATTTAACATAAAGTATTTTAACAGATATTCACTTTAAATTCTTATAAGCTTTGTTTATTCATTATTTTTAATATAAATTTTATTTTATTATAATGTTCACTGCACAATCCCTTATTATATAATTGTTTATTTTTTGAAACTTATTGTTAAATATTAAAAAATATTATTTACTTTATATAAATTCTTTTTTTATTTTATAGATTAACATTATATTAAATTAATAAAGAAAATATAAATTTAGAATTGATGTCACAATTATTAATATCATAAAATACTCTAATCAATACATATTTGTATATATCTATAATCACCCTAAAATTATTCTATAATCTTATATTTTTCTAATAAAAACAATTTAAAACAAAGCATATTTAAAGGATTTATATATTAGGAATAGCTTACAATAAGGGAGAATCAACAGTGACTGGAATAATAATAAATGAATTAGATTATTATTGCCCATTTACGAATGAAAAATCTACAATAATAACTAGTTCTCATTAACGCATTTTTAAGGATAGGTTAAAATTAGAAAGAAACTGAAAACAATACAAATATTTTTGAATTTTGGTGTTAGAAAAATAAAAAAGATGACTACATGAATCAAATTTTTTATTTACAATATTTACATTAAAATATAAATTCAATTTAATTGGAATTGCATATGGTGAAATATAAATTTTAATAGAATATTTCATTGGATATTATTAATTTAATTTGTGTATAGCTAGGAAGAAATTAATTATATTGTCTGGTTAACTATTAATAAGTTTGCTACTAATATGTTCTAGATTGATACTTTAGATCAAATACCAAATGATGACTAGTTACCTCTAAGAATAAACTAAACGATTGTAGATTCAAAACACTTGATAAATTACTATATTGTTAATAAAATTAGATTAAAATAAAAATAATGATAATACTAAGATTTTAGAAGCAGGTGATACTGGGTTAATTTAATATTTAGACCATTTAGATAGTTAATTGTAAAAAGACAGACTGCAATTATGAAAAATTGAGGTATGATAGTCATATAAGATAAGCCTAATAAATCTAACAACCTTATTTAAGATTAAAGAAAATTTAATTAAATTAAATATATATTTTTAATAGCTTTTATGTTTATTTTTTTTAATTTATTAATCATAATTTAAGCTCCATGAGATTAGCTAATGGATAAGGAACTGAATTGCTTAAGCTTTCTTAGTTTTATTTTTTTAGTTTTTTTTATATTAAAAATTTTATTTGCAAAACTAATGCAAATACTTATAGAAGTAAATTTACAAATAGCACAAATAGCAACATTATAATATGTAACCAGCCAAGTAGAACTTATTTGTCATAACTAATTAAATTAGACGTCTAACTCCAATATATAGCAGAAGAAAATGTAAAAATAAACGCACTTCCTTCCATCATAATATGATTAAAAAAATCTTATTGATTTTTGAATGGTTTAAATTTAATTACATAACTGAGATATATTTAACATACAAATGTTAATAAAATTGTTTATATTTATTGATTCTTCTAAAAGCAAACTAGGATAAAGATGAAAATTAATTTTTTTAATGTAAAAAATAAATCCATCTTTGAAATCCAATAATTTATAAAACACTCCTTTATAAAAGATTTCTTATTAACAAATTAGGCAAGTATCATTAAGCATCCATACAATATTAAGTATGCAAAGATAAAACAAATATAGGATCTAAAATTAGTACTTTATTATGATGATTTGAATTACAAAAAACAAGTGAAAAGAATATCCCAGCAATTTGCTATTAAAAATGTCTTTAATCCTTTTTTTCGAAATTCTTTTTTATATTTTACACATTATTTTCTTATTTAGAAGAACAATTTAATTCCACATTTTCCTAAAAAAACTAAAGATTCAATTTTCGTTTTGTCAATCAAATAAATAATAAAATTACATGAAAAATATAAGGAAATTAAAACTATAATAATAAACGCTTAAGTCTATATATTAGTTAAAAGGTCAGCATTGATTTCATAAAATTCCAACTTTTCATAAGAACTTATGTATTAAGCATCATATATTGGAGTTTAAATAGAATCAATTCGAAAAAATTATAAAATGGGTTTAATCGTTATTATGTTACTTGATTCAAAATAGATAAATAAATTGAAGGGAAATATTACATTAATAAATCTTAAATAAGATTATTATTGTAAGACTTCCAGAATAAAACTAAAAATAAACGAATTTCTTAGGAAAAAGGCTAGTAAACCAACTCCTCCCATTGAATTCATAATATACTAATTTGCTTAATTTAAAGTAGCTGCTGTTTATAATTTTTAATCGTCTAAGTATTTTGGTTATCTCAATTATATTTGATCAAATTAATTGACAAGGATAGCATCTTCTGAATTGTACAACTATTAATCTAAAGTAATTTCTAAAATGGGACGATACTCTAAAGTTGCATTTATCTAGATTTCAACAACATACTCTACATTAGTGACATAATCGTAGGCATCTTAGATTATAATTAAGTTTAGTTTGTAGATATTAATATCTACATCAACTAGGTTCATTTATATATATTTAGAATATGAGTCTTTTTCTATATTCTTAACTTATTAAGTAAATAGTAATGTAACATATTAGTTTTAATCTCTTTCTTCTCTAAATTAAAGGTAAAATCTAGGTTGTTTAGAGTAAGTACATTCTGTGAAACTGTATTCAAAATTTTTACATTGATAATCCGTTTCAATCTTACAAAGCCTTGAACATCCATCCCCATCTTCGTTATTTTCATCATCGCATTCTTCTTCATCTAAAGATACCATACCATTCCCACAATAAGATTTGCATATGTTCATTTATTAAATCAAAGTATATCCAGGTTCACATAATTTACATTTACCTTCTATACATTAATCACAATGCTCTGGACAATGAAATTAACAATTATGACATCCATCAGTTTGATTGTCATTTAAATCATCACAATCTTCTTATCCAGCAATGATACCATCTCCACATATGGTTATACATTAATTATCAAACTCATAGAATCCATATTCACAATGATCATAACAAATTCCTTTAATACATAATTTACAATATTATCTACATTAATATTTACATTAATAACAACCATCATAAGGTATTGAATTCATATCATCACATTATTCATATTCAATTGTAATTAATCCATCTCCACATACAGGAGTACAAATTTAATCAATCAACGTAAATGTATATTCACAATTATAACAAATTCCATAAATACAAGTATCACAATGATGACAACATTATAATTTACATTCAAAACAATCATCAAATTAATTACTATTTAAATAATCACATTCTTCATAAGAAATTAAAGCAATTTAAGAATCTCCACATTAAGTTTCACAAATAAATTGATTATTTAAATGCCATCCATAAATACAATTTAAACATATACCTCTAAAACAATATGAACATTCTCTTTAACAATCATTTTAACATTTATTACATCCATCAAATCTTATTAAATTATTATCATCACATTCTTCTAAGATTTAAATTTCATTATCACCACAAATAGATTAACATTATTATTTAATTAATTTCCATCCTGGAATACAATCATAACATATTCCAAATTCACAAATCAAACAATTTAATGGACAAATAAATTTGCCATTTTTACAAATTTCAAAATTTAAATAATCGTCACATTCTTCCCAAATTTAAAATTTCTAATCATTTACAATAGCAATACAAGTATTAAAATCTGATTAAAATATCCA